GTAAAATAAGGAAAAGATTCAATAACTTATGTTCTTTCTGTAATATAAAAGAAGAAACAATAATACATATTTTATGGGAGTGTGACAATGTACCGACCTTCCTCAACAGTTTTGAAAGATATTGTGAGCAAAGGATAGGGTTACAACTTTCTTTAACAAAGCAAAGTTTTATTTTGGGATTTCTAGAAAAAAAAAAACAAAGATATTCATAACTTGCTGTTCCTATGGATAAAATATTATATATATATACGATGAGATGTTTAGAAAAAAAAAAACTAGATGTCAGACTTGCGACTTCATATATTAAACTTTTTTATGAAACTCAAAAATATTTAGCATATAAAAATGGTGACAGACTTTTGACACCAACTGGAATCAGTGGAATCAATTGTTTTCATAAAATGCTATAAAATGAAATAGTCTTATTTACCGGTATGTAAAGGAATTAACATGCCATCTCTCTCTCTCTCTCTCTCTCTCTCTCTCTCTCTCTCTCTCTCTCTCTCTCTCTCTCTCTAAAAACCAATCTGTAATATATTAAATTGAAAAAAAAACATAAATTCCATTATTCGATTTGAACGAAAAAAAAAAAAATCAAAAACAAACAAATAAAAAAAAACAAACAAACTTACAATTTGTTTAAATTTTGAGGATTTACGATTTCTTTATATTTTTGGGCTCAAAATCAGTTTTAAGTAAATTATCAACCAATGCATAAAATATTTAGTTTGAGTTCATGTCTTATAATTAAGCCTGACACAGCTAGATTCATTAATTTTGTAAATTTTAATATTTGATTAATATTACATGTAATTTACATATAGTCTCTCTATATTCTCTGTATTCTTCAACCTGACCACGATCTAAATTACAGTGGACCTTCAGATATCCGGATGCCAGATATCCGGATGCTTCAGTATCCGGACGATTTTTCATCGGAACGAAATTTTAAAATGTTATTCTGTCTTGTTTAACTGGTGATTCAGATATCCGGATGCTTCACATATCCGGACAAACTGACTGGGAACAAAGCGTCCGGATAAATGAGGGTCCACTGTATATCTCTGAGCGCGTTTTGTTGCCGTTTTCAGAATTAAGCAAATTAAATAATGTTTTAATTTGCGTCATCACATTTTTAAAAATAATTTCATAATGACATCGCTGTAATATATGCTAAATACGTATTCGAATTTCTGGAAAGAGAGAGGGATAGAGAGAGAGATGTCAACAATGACACCGATCGATAGCCCCGCCTTCTATAAATATTGATTGTGTGACATAAAAACCACTCCGGGTACATGTTGAATTCCGGAAGACGATACTCATGTATCGATGCTTCAATTATGATACACAACAACAGGGCATTGTTTTGCGCAAATGTTCCACCTAATATAACCAAGTATATGTTGCTCTTTCCATTGCTCAAAATTTATGTTGGATTCACTTCATTTACAGATTGTTAGAGAAGTCGCAAAAAGATCCAAAATAGGGTGTTAACTCCACCCATTCTTTCAAGCGATTTTTATATTTATAGCTTCTGTAGAAGGGGGGGGTGTAACGCTTATTATCTCTGCCTCCCAGCTGGTATCTGAAGGATGTGAACAAAATGTGCATATATATAAAATTGGGACATACTAATATAATAATAATTGAATGTAAGGTAACAAAACAATATCCCGTCCCCCAAGGAGACACTTTTAGCTCACCTGAGCCTTCAGTTATCTTTTCTGATCAAAAAGATCTTTTGAAAATCTTTTAAATTAAAGTACCCATGAGCAAGAGAAGATGATATTATATGGAAGCTTCATTACATCTTTCTAGATTCAGATTTAAACGTACCATAACCCATGGGAATAGAGCAGGGCCACAAGAGGGGGTCCAAATCTTACATGGGAATATATAGCAGGGTGGCAATTTTTAACTGGTTAAACGCTTACTCTGTCGGAACCGGTTGTGTAGTGTTAATTATTATGCAATAGCCATATGTACCGTTACCTAGACTAACATTGTATTTCTTTAGTGATAAATAGAAAATATCTTTAAAAGCTCCGTACGTCCGTCTGTTAACTGTTCACATTTTTGACTTCTTCTCAAGAACCACTGGGTCAGCTTTGATTAAACTTGGTACAAAGTAGCCTTAGGTAAAGGGGATATTAAATTGTTAAAATAAAAGGACCAAGACCCCTCACAAGGGGAGATAATAAAGAAAATACAAAAATAGGGTTGGGTCATTAAAAAAATCTTCTTCTCAAGAACCACTGGGCCAGAAAAGCTGAAACTTATGTGGGAACATCCTGGGGTAGGGTAGATTCTAAATTGTTCAAATCATGACCCCCGGGGGGTTAGGCGGGGCCACAATAGAGAATCCAAGTTTTATATAGAAATATATAGGAACAAATTTTAAAAATCTTCTCCTCAAAAACCATCGGGCCAGAAAAGCTGAAACTCATGTGGAAGCATCCTGGGGTAGTGTAGATTCTAAATTGTTCAAATCATGACCCCTTGGGGTTGGGCGGAGCCACAGAAGAGAATCCAAGTTTAACATAGAAATATAAAAGAACAAACTTTAAAAAATCTTCTTCCCAAGAACCACTTGACCAGAAAAGCTGAAACTTTTGTGGAAGCATCCTGGGGTCGTGTAGATTTTAAATTGTTCAAATTGTAAGATATAGTTGCCACCCGGCACCACGTGTGCCGACGGAAGAGGACCTGACACCTCAATCGGTGTTTCGGGCACATTTTAGGAATGTTCCAGGGTCTGCCACTCATCAGAGATTCAACCCAAATTAAGTTAATATATTTTAGCTGTATAAGATCTCTAGCATGGTGGTGTTTCATGCAATGATAATTGTAGTGGACATGTATTGTTACTGTTCCACTAATTAAGCTTTGTGAATAAAAAGCTGTATGTTTTGGATATATCAATGAATAAGACATAATCAAGGAGAATTAATATTCTCTGAGATGCGAGCTTAAATTATTTGCTCGTCTTGTTTTGTGGTACATGTTGTGCTGAACGGCTCTTAGATAGAGCTGCAGTTGAGATTCGTTTGAAGCGGGCGGGGCGACCGTCACATAATCGCGCTGGGAGAGTTAATGCACGTGGCATGAGAAAGCGCATTGGTTGTTTGTTTAGAGTATTAGGTAACTGACAGCCACCTGTTCCCTGATATCTGCTTTGCATGCTTTTCGCTATCACGGATTGCCTGATTTGTTAATTGATGTGCTATCTGTTCGAGTTTAAGAGCTCATTTAAGTTTCTATTTCGCTTGTATCCAATGATAGGAGGCATCAGGAATAATTCAGAACATTGTTTATCTTTTTGAATTATTTTCCAGTGTTTGCGTAATAGTTTCCCCAGTTTTTTGACTGCAGGATTGTGCTTGGTAACAATTAAGAACAGAGGGCGGTCTGTTAGATTTGGTCTTGTTATTTTTTAGCAATTCTTGTCTCTTAATTGTTTGCGTTTCTGAAACAATACTGTCTATTTCAGAGTCCGAGTACCCCCTTGATATAAGTCGTTTCTTGAACTGTGAAATTAACTGTTTGTTTTTTTGTGGGTCAGAAGTGTTCCTCATATGACGGATAATTTCCCCCTTGATAAATCCTCTGAAAGTAGCATTGGGATGTGCACTGCTACGATGCAGGTACATAAATGTTTCTATGGGTTTGATGAAAGTTTCAAAGTCTAAGACTCCGGACTGTTTAAATCTCTGTCCTTTGTGGACTTTTGTGTCCAGAAACAGTCTCATTTAAGTGAATATTGTATGTAAATTTCAGGTATTTGTGCTCCAGATTTGCAAGTTCAAAAAACTGCAGTATTTCACTTTCTGTGGCATCCATGGCCATAAAACCGTTGTCTCTGTATCTTAAGTGAGCCAGAATTTTGTTTTTATGATTGTATTTTTTGATAATATTTTCAAGGATATCAAAAAGGCGCAGATCACATACATGTATCTCGGGGGACGGGACCGCCCCCATGCTGGCTCCTAGCATTTGTTTATACAGGTGACCATTAAATTCAAATTCATTGTTCTCTAACAGAATTAGTAACAATTTGATTAGGTACCATATCTGGGATCGGTATTGTAACATCAGTCTGTTTCAATTTTGTGAGTGCTTTTGCTGCAGATTGAATGAGTTCCGTGGCTGTCATGTTAGTATACCTGGAAGTTACATCATAGGTAACTAGCCATATTTCGGGTTTCAACTGCAGGGATTCAACTTTGCTGATAAAGTCTTTGGTATCTCTGACGTATGTGTGTTGTTTTTGTACTAATGGCACCAGGAAGTAGTCTATGAAATGCCCTATAGGCATTGTAGGGGAGGCGCGTTGAGAGATAATTGGCCTCCCCGGAGTAGTGTAAAAGTACCTTTTCTGGCACAGATACTTAAAATGGGGCTCCACGATAAAGTCAATAAAGGGAACGCAAAGGGCCTTTTATGGTCCCTAATGGTTTTTTACCATGACGTAAAAACTCTGTTGAACTATCGATTAATGGTGTATTAAAAATGTGAACAATGGAGTGTGAAAATGGGACGATGTTGAATGAGACATTTAAAGGGGCATCAGTCAACCGGAATATTTACAGGTGAAAATGTTATCAAAGGTACACGAGGTTTTAAATCTTACGAGATACTTTAATGACATTAGAACGATTTTTTTTATTTTCAGAATAACTTATGTCCTCCTTTAGAGAACACGTATAATCTTTTTTTACTTTTATAAACAAAAGTAATAACACAAAACCATTAAATAATAGTCCAATGAAGGACTAGGACCAAAGAATCCTTTTGACTCTTAGCCAATAAAAATTCAATTCAAAGAAAATATCAACAAGCAAACCGATTTTAAATCTCACATTTATTGTTCAGATAAGCAAAAACAAAAACGTACATGTATACACATTTAGAGACATATGCATTAATTATACATAAATAATTTCTTTCACAAACTTGCTTTTATGATGATGAAGTTAGATATACCGTTTGAAAAATATTCAACTATAAGTTTGTATATCATTGGCATTGACCCATGAATTAAATTTGGAAGGCCAGTGTAACCATTTTACAAGGTACTGTTTATTGTCTCCTCGGCCTTTTGTTTTTATGATCTTTTCTACCTTAAACACGTCATCTTCACGAACGTCCACTTTTTGCAGTTCATTTTGATAAAAAGTTCCTTTGATTTCTTCGTTTAAATAGTCTTTGAGTCTGCATATGGGCAATCCTCCTCTTAAATGTCTCTCGGAAACGACAAATATCTCCCCTGACCACTTCTCATCATATTCGCGAGTAAAGACGTTTCGTAGATGACTAATCCGCACACGATCCCCTATCTTAAACCTGAAGGGTTTCCTCACTCTCTTTGCCTTTGGTATTATAGGAGTCGTCTTTGGCCAATACATTTTCCACCATATGTTCGTCTCTTTCGACCTGGTCACATTTTTGGGAGGCATACTTATGGTTCTGTGGTACGTTGCATTATAATTAATGGCAAAATCTTGAAGGTGATCCACATAGCGATGTTTTTGTTTGAACGTGATGAATCTATATATTTTAGTTTTGATTGTTTTAATCACCCTCTCTGCATAATTGGCTTTGACTTCAGTGTTCTGAACGTATAAATGTTCGATGTTTTGATCATTCAATAGGGCGTTAAAGGCTCGGTATCGGAACTCCTGTCCTTTATCTGCACGGATTCGTGTCGACCTTCTTGAAGTATGTCTGCAAAGGCTGAAGTGACGCTTTGACCCTTTTTGTCCTTTAGAGGGCGCATCCACAGAAACTTGGAGAAAATATCTATAACAATAAGGACAAACGTAACCCCATCGTTTTGCTTGGCATATTTGGATATGTCCATGAGATTTGCATCCCACTGATCATAAATACCAAGTGTGATGACTTTATTTCTTTTAAAATGCCTTCGAATAGGTCTCTGTAGACTGTATGCTTCTTGCCTCTGTAACCATTTCCTGATCTTGTATTTGCTCAGGGCATATTTTCCTTGTTTGCGTACATATCGATACAGTTTGTCCGGTCCCGAAAAACTTCCAGCATTAACAGGGTCGTAATAAATTTGCTTGAGATAATCCTCCCAAGACATGTTACTTCCTTGACTAAGTACTGAGAAATGAGTCATACATGTGATCTTCTAACAAATATATACTGCTTGAGTCACATGATCACAAAATAATTTTATGTCACACAAAACCACACATCTGATGTATTTTTATATTTTATCGATGTAAGTTTACATAAGATACAGTCATTTTATAGAAATGCATAAGAAAATAAATATAAAACGTATGCATCAGTTTTCAAATAAAATGGATTGAGTTACATTGTTTACTCTTACATCGAGTATTAATAAAGCAGAGTAATTCAAAACTGTTTTTCTCTCAAAAGTTAATTAGGCTTTTTCTTCGGATTCTTCACTCTCGTGCTCTTCTGATTCACTGTCGTCCTGATCGCCAGTTTCCATCTCACTTTCGTCGTCCCACATTTCATCGAGGAGATGACGATTTTTATTAAGAGCCATTCTGATGGACATACGTTCATTGTAACCCTCAGAAAGGAACTCAGCTACATCGTCCATGATAGTGGCATGAATGGAACCGTGTTTTAATTGTAAAAAGTATTGGATTAGGATAGCATAGTTTTTATGGAACTCTTGTAAGTCTTTTGACTTCAACTTTTCCTCGGTTTTTGCTCTGGCCTCTTCCCGGGTTAATCCTTCTTTAATGTATTTATCATACTTTTGATCCCATTCCGTTTCATTGTTCTCTTTAGCTTTACCCATGAGAACGTCAAAAACTTCATGTTCGCGGCCATCTTCATCTTCTTCCTTCTCAATGGGTTCGAATTGGATCCATTTTGCAGGTGGTTGGCCCTCCTCCATTTCCACATCGTCTCTCTTTCTTTTAAGGAAACATTTTCGGGACACCATCTTTTAACGTGTCTCTGGAGGTCATGCATGTTTTCGAACATAAGACCACAATCGTCACAGGAAGGCATCTCGTCTAGGTCGGGGTAGGTGCTGTTTCTAAGAATTGCAATTGATCAGCTGAAGAATGCTGCACAGAGTTAGAGGTTGTTGATTGGTCTAGCTCTGAATACGTCTGAATGCTAGGCGTGTCGTCGTGTGTATGAGAGAGGGCATCTGAAGCTTGCGATTTTATAGAATTCAAGATGCTTGTGCGCAGGCGCAGATGTTCGGGTGTGGTTGGCATCAAGTCGATCAGTAGATATCCATAAGACTTGGAAATGACTTCTTTAAAATGTCTCAGCAGGTGTTGAGGATTTTCGAGATACATCTGTCGAGCCATAGTCATGACTTGCTGTCTGTCCACAGGGTTGTTAAACAGGACCAGATAGTGGCAATTACGTTTCTTGGTGGGATCTTTGTTATAGTACAGATTTTGATTGAAAGCTACGACTGACAAATTTCTATGATGACTACCCTCTGTAAACAACTCGTTGATTCTAGAATCTTTGGCCGCCGTCGACATGAGATCGTCGAGAATCACGAGATTCCTCATTCCAGGGTTATTGAAGGAATCTTGCTCCAAATCTAATGGAATGCCCTGTATAAATTCGACTGAGGGATACACGGTTCCCTTGATGATGTCGTACAAGGGTTGCCATCGCTTATAGAGCCACAAGATTCTCTCTGGAGGAGGGAAACCTTGCTCATACAATGTTGCAATAACGTTTTTACAAAATAAGTCTTGCCGGAGCAGGTGGATCCAGATACATTAACCGTTAAAGGATGTTGAAACATAAACTCCTGTTGCTGTTTTTGTTGTTGTTGTTGTTGCTGTTGCTGTTGTTGTTGTTGTTGTTGCTGTTGTTGTTGTAACAAAGGCAGCTGTTGTTGTTGTTGTTGTTGCTGTTGTTGTAACAAAGGCAGCTGTTGTTGTTCCTGTTGTAACAAAGGTAGCTGTTGTTGTTGTTGATGCTTTTGTTATTGTGACACTTCAGATTTCTGCACACCTTGTTTATATTTCACATGCCTTTTTAAACTATCAGGCCAGACGTATACACTTGAGCACAGATTGCAAGGATACATGTTGACCCTTTGACGTCCTCCAACGTTATGGCAAAAATGATTTATGTTTTTATTTTTATCAGGTTTTCCACGTGATTCCATTTGCATATTCTTTATAAGTGAACACGTTATAAGTGAACACGTTATTAGAAAAAGTTGTACTTCGACAATTCCTCTGAAATACATAGACTCCGGGATCTTAGTTCCCGGCGTCTTTAAACTCCGGAATCCCCAGGTCACCGGAATCCTTGGGCTCCGGAAACCTTGGACTCCGGAAACCTAAGATCCGCGGCGGGGCCTCCCCGGGAGTCCTTTACTGAACCATGTTCAAATAAAACAAAATATTCTTGTTTTTCCATGCATTTATTCACAATTCTGTGTACATTGAATACATGAAATACAGACTTTTTATGCATTATACTTACATATAGGACAAATCGTTTAATAACAAACATATGATAATAATAATAAAATGTGCAATACATCTTATGTCATATTCTATAAAATGAAACTGTTTTATAACAAACCTATGATAATATAATGACAATGTACAATACATCTTATATCTTATAATGACCATAAGCTAAGGTGTGAATACCGTCCTTAAGGATATACTTCTTATCGTCAAAGGGGCTCAGACTGGTTTTATTTAGAAAAACAATGCATATTTGGTGGTTAAATGATCTGAACGTCACCATCGACTCCATCTGAAACTCTTTTTTTTAAAGACAATTTTTATAGTTTTCATGTTGTATGCTCAATTGCACAACTGTCTTACTCACATCCTTGACTCCTTTCTTTCCTTCTTGACAAATAAATTGGTTCTCGTTTTGAACTATTTTCTTTCCGTAAATAAAACTGAACATCTTGGGCATTAAACCAACGAATTCTCGCATGATATGGCCTTGACATTCATTCTGCATTTTACCTAAGACCTTTTTGTTGGCATTGCTATGAAGAGAATGTGTTTCGGGGTAATCACTGAAATCAAAGCAATGCTGACTTTCCATCATGTCTACATACACATCATCGGTGGATATGCCGTAACTCAAAGAGTCCGTGTCTGTAAAGCAGAGAGTAGCGCGATCGTCATACTTTTCCTTAAGTAATTATAGTGGAAATTGTACATCAAGACTTTGGAAAGTTACAAAATGGAAAACCCCACATAAATTGGTCTATTGAGGACCAATTTTTGTTTGCTGAGTTCTACAGAAGCAAGATCTGTATTGAAGATCTTGAACGCTTTGAAACCAGGTTTAGCCGAAAGCGTTAAGAGCCTTTTCTTCTGGTGAACGAACTGAATATCTACTCGCTTACGCAGATTTTCCATGGTCTTTCCGAAAACACTATTATTCATGAGTTTGAAAAAATCTTTCTCAAACTCGTTCTTAGCCCTTTTACGCATGCTTGTGTTGAAATCAATATAGGCTTTCAGCCAAGGACTTTGTTTGAAAGACAGTACTCGATGAACTTTGGTCAGTCTCATTCCCAAAGACAGGTAGAGTTGTAAATTCCTGTAGTTGACAACATATTTCTCTTTATCAAAAAGATTAGGGATTTTGCAGAGCCTTCTTTCATTACTAGTTTTGTCAAAAGTTCTTTCTGATATGGCAAAAGCATTTCCGGTTCTACTTTAAAAAATTCAGGGGCTTAAGAATAGTCACTGTGACATTCATGCAATTCAGAGGGATATTTAAGATCTACCTCAAAGACATAGCCCGTGTCCCCCTCCGTAGGGACGATATTGACATCGATTGTTTCAATGTCTTCAGGGTTAGCCAACGAAAATCATGAGTTGGAAGAGGCTGACTCATGGCCCACCCATAGAGATTGTTGGCATCTAAATAAATTAGATAGTTCGAAGGTTGATGGGAATCGTAGCCGTTAAGATAAGGATTATTAGCTTTCGCGTATCTTTTAGAAATCATAGCAACACCTCCTCTGAGCCTCTTTTCCACGAAAAGATGCATGCCCGGATCGGTTAGTAACTCGAGCTCCACAGACGTCATTTTGAAAGCGGCCTGTCAAGCTAATCCCAGGGCCGTTTAAAAATGAGCCGCGTCGAGACCATACAGGTTTAAGCATAGACTTCGAAAATTTTCAAACACGTCTGCTAGAAGATGCACATCTGTCTCCATGTACAGACCGTGATACTGCCCTAAATGTTGAATTTTAAAGACGTCCCAGACCCATTGTGCGTGTAAGTAGTCCTGATCAGAAATGGTCCTGCCGTCTAAGTCGTTGTAAAAAGCCTGTTGTGGTGGAAGTGTTACCTCTTTGAATCGTTTAAAGGAGTTCATGTAGTGGTACGGGTACACCCCCTTTCTACTCAGCAATTGAAACTTGGTTACCTCGTTTCCGGGATGAGTGGAGGCAACATATGCTTCAAGGTGAGGAAATTTGTGTAAG